AATTAGCCCTGAAACGGGTATAACACCTCATAACATTGTCATTCTGGGCAAAAAAAAAAAAATCACCCTCAAGATTTAGGCTACATTCACTTAGACGGAAAGTGAAAGTGACAAGAAGGCAATTACAAAAGGAGGTCTCGTCCGGGTTTGTTCCATCCTACTCAATTAAGTTCCAGTTTCATTAATGTCCCTTTGCATCACTTTGCTTCAATCAAGTCTTGCGGCCCCTTACAAACGCTACAGTGATTTTCGGCGAATCACATTAAAGAAATGAACTTTCCAAATCCAGCCGCGTTATTTCCGATGCAGGAGTAAAACGGGCTGGACGTGTCCTTCCTTCTCATCCTGCTCTTGACAGCGCGGGCCGTGCCGTGTTTATTGCTGAATAATTACATTTTAAGCACTTTAAATGACTTTGCTTCATCAGACTGAATGATTAATTGCGTCGCAGGATGAGGATTGTGAAGTTAATATGAGCTTAATGATCGGTCTGGTCTCTCAAAGTTATTGAGAGTTTTTTTCTCCCCCCTCTCCCATCTTAGCTGTGAGTAATCTGCATGAACTTTACTTTGACAGTTAATATCGCGCTTTCATTTCCTTGTTGGTGTAATTGTTTTAATTATGTTGCGTTCATTATTCAACAGGGATGATCTTATAGCTCCAGGGAAATGATATTTTCTGAACAGGTTTCCATTCGAGCGGGGAACAAACAAAGGACAAGGATGACATATGCCAGAATAAACAATGACAAAATTGTTACGCGCCTGTGACCTTTCGCAACCGCTTTCAAGAAAAACAAAGCGAAACAATCGAATACGAGCAATTTAATCCACTTTTTGTATGTTTAACTGCCAAAATGAAGGCAACACGGTGGCTCAGTGGTTAGCACTGTCGCCTCACAGCAAGAAGGTCGTTGAGACCCGGTTGATTCAGGTGGAGTTTCAGTGTAAAGTTTGCATGTTCTCCTGGTGTTTGCATAGGTTTCCCCACAGTCAAAACACATGCAGTGCAGGTGAATTGAATAAACTAAATTGGCTGTAGTATATGTGTGTGAATAAGTGTGTGTGAATGTTTCGTAGTACTGGGTTGCAACTGGAAGGGTATCCGCTGTGTAAAACATATGTTGTATTAGTTGGTGGTTCATTCCGCTGATGAATAAAGACACTAAGCTGAAGTAAAATTAATGTATGCCAAAATAAAGCGCAAAATAATTAACCCATGAGAAGCGCATGGTGGTCTGTCTGCCATGACCTGCCAATGCTCTCCGAGCCTTTGGTCGGTTTCCAGTCACAGTCAGACTTGCGTCCTGTCCAAAGATGGTATCAGCCAGACAACAGGGGAGCCATCTTGGCTCATATGTCTACCAGTGGCAGAGTTCTTCGGCTTGACCTTTAGTCTTTGAACAGCAATGATTACAGAGGGAGCATTGGGCTGCCAACCTGTAATCTCCAGCGACAAACCCTTCTGGCACAAAGACCTCTGGACCCAGATCTTGGCTCTGTCTCAAACATTGCCTAAGCCTGACTATCCTTTTCAGCAGCAGCACCATGTTGGCTCTAGCGAGTATTGATTAGCTGTAGTGATGGTGCACGGCTGCTTCCCTCCAGATCACAGACGGCAGCTCACCATACAGCCATTCTGGATAGGTTTCCACCATGACAGATGGCAAAAGTTGATATGATTATTTATTTATTAAATTTTTTTTGTTATAGCTGATGTTGAAATGTGCTCACGGTGGCCTAGTTTAAGTATTGCTTGTTCTGAAACTACAACAAAGAAAAAGAGTGACTTAAAAACAAAAATAAAAGCAAAAAACAAGGAATCTGTCAGCCTCCTCAGAGACGCAGACGCAGCGGTATCACTTATCATCTCACTAGAATGTGGAGGATGATAATAATATGACACTGGGTTTATGAGAAGCAATTGCCAGTTTGATTTCCACTAAGCACATGGATATCCTCCTAAGCTTGTCACAAAACTCTGTAGGAGGTTCGATATTATACACTTGGAGTCGCTGAGATAAACCTGAAAGCAGTTTTCAGAACATTTCTTTGACACTCGCGGAATTCTGTATCTCTTCGTGCTGAGAACTAAAACTTGAATGAAGATTCTAAACTTACAACAAGAACAGAGATTTCACTGTTCACAACAGGACTGTACATAGAGCTAAATCTACAAAAAAAATATAGATTTTAACTTTTTTAACTTCTCAAATTTACCACACTGTTAAAAGTGATTAGTTACTTAAAGTGAGTAAACCAATAAAAAAGCAACAAGTTGACTTTGCAAAAATAATGTAAATAAACCCAAAGTCACTTTTTTAAAATAAAAGTAAACTAATCACATTTTTCCCAATACATTTTTATCATATATTTTTCCCCAGATTTTCTGTATCTAGCAAAATGAAGTCTGTTCCAGTCTCCAGTGTGTCTTCTAAATTCAATTCAAGTTATAATTGTAGATTGTATCGATCTAATGAAGCACCAAATCTGTGATATTGTGATAATTACAGTAATTATTTGAAAACAGACATGCTAAAATAGTCTGACACTGTAAAAAGGGAATAGTTAAAAAGTAAGTACAATTAGCATAATTTTTAAAATTGGAACTTAACAGTTCCAAGTTAAAATGGGTTTACTTTATTTTTGTAAAGTCAACTCAGTTTTAAGGCTATTTGTTTACTCGCTTTTAGTAACTTATCACTTTTTACAGTGCAGAGTAAATATAGTAGTAATGATAATAATGATAAAAAAATTATGATGATAATAATAATAATAATAATAATATTACATAACTTGATATTAACAAATACATCATTACCTGTCTTTGTCATGACAACTTGACGGTACTAGAACAACAGAAAATGGCATTTTCTTGACCTGAACTACAGAGGTACAAATTTAATTTGTCATTAAAATGTCATTAAATTTAGTGGCATGGTGGCTCAGTGGTTAGCACTGTCGCCTCACAGCAAGAAGGTCGGTGGTTCGAGTCCCGACTAGACCACGTCTGTGTAGAGTTTGACTGTTTTCCACTGTGTTCACATGTGTTTCCTTCAAAAACACGCTTAATAGGTGAACTAAAGAAACCAATTTGGCTGTAGTGTATGTGTGTGAATGGCATCTCCAGCATATGAGATATGCCGGAATTATTGGCGGTTCATTTCGCAGTGGCGACCTCTGAAAAAGAGACTAAGCTGAAGAAAACATTTAATAAATGAATGAATGTCATTAAACGATAAATTAATTTCTACAATTAGTTGACACTATTGACACTTTTAATGAGACATTTTAATGAATCATTAAAATGTCCTACTGGAAAAAAAATGATTAGAAAAATATTCATGACACAAATTTAATGGCCTCATAGCAATCATGTTCATGACAAATTTATGACAAGTTATGACAAGACACTGACAGTTTTTTATTTTTTTGGTCTAGTTGTCATGACAAAGTCAAAGACAGGTTGTGATCTATTTGCTTATGTCAAGTTGTCATTACAAAGACATCTCTAACAATGCCATCCTTGCATTTAAACTGACATAAAAGAGCTAATGACACTAAATGACAGTTAACAAAATGACAGACAAAACTAAATGACAGACAAAAGCATTCATAAAATCTCGTTCATATTCAAGTTGTGTGTCTTATGGACACCGCTTTAATTAAAGTCTTACCCGGCGTTTTATTGGAAGCAAAAATAAATCCTCCAGGTCATGCATGTCTAATCCAGTTATGATAGACAGACTAACAGACAGATGGACAGTAACCCTGTTCCCGAGAGAGTTTTGGGACAGTGGACAGCAGTTCAGAGGGCTAGTGATGGGATTTGCTCTGCATTATTCAAAGTCTGTGTTCTTCTCCATACTGGTATTCATGCATATAAAAGAAAAGGCCTTTCAAGTGACCCAAGAAGTGGAAGACGAGGGCCTACAGTAACACAAACTGTCCATTTGAGCTAAATCTTTTATCATATGCTGGAACTGGGCAGCAGGGTGCAAATCCTGTTCCAAAAAAGCACATACTATTCAGGGTGTATAAGGAAGATACACCAAAAGAATGAAGTTCTTAAGTTCTTAAGGCAGGCATAAAACATTCTCCGAGATATTGCAATGAGAAGGTGGGAAAAAATAAAATAAACATGTAAATGCACAGCAGATCCTGTGCTGAGCATGCAAATGCACTTCTGAATATATCACTGTTCCAGAACCCTGAGTACCATAATGATAATGCACACACCGGTACTCTCTCATAAAAACAACTCCACTCATCCCTAATAAAAAAAAAAGGCATGCTCATCAAATGCCTAGAAGGAGAGAAAAAAAAACCCACAAACAGTGCTCCAAATGTCAACAGTGACTGATTGATTTGCTGTTTTATATTCTGCAATATATAACAATTACACATCCAGACATGTAGATGGCGCTGTAAGCACTAACCTCAGCTGCAGGCACTCCCTCAGGTGGACGGCAGTGGAGGACGATCATGCCATTGATTGGCACCTCCATTCCCTGCGGTTCCTGCTCGAAATTCTTCCTCAGGTCTATATGAGAAAATAAAAAAAGCACAGGTAGCATATGCTGCTGTCTTACGCATTGATTGACTCATTGATCAATTCTTGTCCTGAAGGAGCTAATCACATTAAAGCAATGGCATCAATTTTGGGTGGTTCTATCCAGGCCTTAATTTAAAGCAATACATGTGAGCATGGACCACAAATATATGTCACACAGATATATTTTTGGCAATTTAAGCATATTTTTAATTAGTAATTGCTAATAACTTAATTTGGACATAAAAGTTTTTCTCAATAATTAGATTTTTTGATTTTCCAAACTATCAAGCAATAAAAACCACATTTATTCAGTTTTCATATGGTGTATATGTCTCAAAAATCCCAAAATGTGACGCTCAGATCACAGATTTTCAAATAGCTGCATCTCAACCAAATATTTTCTTATCTTAACAAAATGTACATCAATTTAAAGCATATTTATTCCAATTTCATATTTTGTATATTTCAAAAATCCAAAAAAGTAACTCTCAGATAACAAATATTTAAATAGCTGCATCTTGGCCAAATTTTATCTTAAGAAAATGTACATCAATTAAAAACATATATTCAGTATTCAAATGGCATTTACATGAAAACCTCAGATTACAGGTTACAGATTTCAAACAGTTGCATCTTGACCAATTATTATCTTATCTTAACAAAATGTACATCAATGAAAAGCATATTCATTCAGTTTTCATATGGTTTATACATTTCAGAAATCCAAATATGTGACCGTCAAATTATAGATGTTCAAATAGTTGTATTTTCGGCCAAATATTATCTTATCTTAACAAAATGTACATCAATTTACAGCATATTTATTCAGATTTTCAAATAGTTGCATCACAAATATTATCTTATCCCAACAAAATATTCATCAATGAAAATCATATTTATTCAGATTTCATGTTGTAAACATCTCAAAAATCTAAAAAAGAAAACCCTCTAATTACAGATTTTTTTAAATAGTTGCATCTTGGCCAATTATTTTCTCATCTTAACAAAATGTACATCATTTGAAAGCATATTTATTCAGTTTTCATATAGTGTATACATCTTAAATATCCAATAATTAAACCCTCAGATTATAGATTTTCAAATAGTTGCATCTCAGACAAATATTATCTCATCCTAACAAAACGTACATCAATGAAAAGCATATTTATTCAGATTTCATATGGCATATACATCTCATACCCCCCCCCCCCCCCCCCAAAAAAAAGGAGAAAACATTATTGTTTATATAAATCCTAATAAAATTATATATAAAATTACACATAGAAAGGCTAAACAGTGGAACAGTTGAAAGCACACTGGAAGTACTAAAATACTAAAAATAAAACTGAGGAAAAACAATAACAGTAAACTATTATAGAAAATTATTTAAAATTTTCAAAGAAGCACATAAAAAGTGCTAAAACCAAAATGAAAAGTGAAAACCAAAACAAAAGTATTATTAAATATTATAGCAGGATAAAAAATATATAAAACTAACACTACTATCTGAGCCTTTTAGCAATAATAAAAGGTGCATGTGTTTCAAAAACCTATTTGGAAAATCTCAGTACTTCTGTGAGGTCCATGTGATGCAGCAGTTTCAATCAAACTTAAAAAAAAATGGTTGAATTCTAAAGTGATTTAGCAAAAAAATTAAATAAATAAATACAAAAATAAACTTATATTATACTGACAAGCAATGCGAACGGTGGCTTTGCGACTCTTGGCGGTGCCCAGATGACTCCAGGCCACACACAGACACCAGTAGTCCTCCGGTCCATGGAAATCCTCCACCTGCTGTCTAGACACATTTATCATCACCTCGCGGATCTTCAGTCCTGCACAGAGGAAAAAAAAAAAAAAAAAAGACTGAGAATGACAAAGAGACTCATTTAAAATGGTCTAATGACTACAGTCTCTGCAAATCAGTACTAACTAAAGGTATCTTTGCTTAGCTTAACTGCACTTTCCAGCAGCTCGACTGTTTCCAAAACAATGCAGCTTTCACAGTAATGAGCTACCTTTTCCAAATAGCAGCAGTGCAACCTGTTAAAATGTTGTTATATCACATTGTTAGCACAGTGAACTGTATAATCAAAAGAGTTCTCCTAAATGCTTCTCTCTTACAATTCACTGATTCAAGGCTTGGCGCACAGGTCCCTGAAAGGCATTTATTATTCTGTTTTGTAGCAAATTATTTAGTTAAATGCTGTTATTTATCCCTATTTATGACTATTTGTGATGTATAATTTTATTTGAGAATTATTTGTGTATGTTTATGTCATCCTAATTGAGTTCCCCAATGATTTCTTGTGTTCTAAGACATTTTTAAAAAGACATCTCAATTTAAATGTGATTACGCTATGAGAAGCTTAACGCATGAAAAGTTTCCAAGTAGCTTTAAATGGAGTTTAACAAATAGCAGACACTTAAATTAAAAGCCAGTTAAACCATATTCCCTCAGAGGGTTGGTGCTCTAAATAAACAGCCCTGCTTTTACCACACATTTACCACACATAATGCTTTCTAATTCCAATATTGCATGAGAATTTTGTAGGATAGAACTGTACCAAACCCTTGTGGTTCCTGCAAAAACCAAGACCAGGTGGGAACAGATTAAAGATCTTAGGTATGAGTCAGGGGGCAGGATTATGGGAATTATTAAAGAATAATGCACATATTCCTATAGAGGATCTGGGTGATTTTTTAAAAGCATTCCCCAGGCTGCTTTCCAACCAGGCTGCTCTATAATGTATTCTTCCTGTCATAAGCCTAATTTTAGTACCGTTGTCGTGCCGACTAAACATTAAATTATGCAGGCGATGTTTGAGGTGGTGGATTACGCTCTTCGCACAGTTACTGCCCAGAACCCTGGCTCTTTGGAAAAAACATGTTTCCACCACCAAAAAAAAAAAAAAAGTGCCAATACACTTATTTAGCTGCACTTTTCAGATGAAATTAACACTAGAGGCAGTAAAACGATAGCAATATTTATTCTTTTCCACAGTAATTATGTTCAATGACCTCAAAACACTTTGAATTGTAAACTGAGAAGGTGTATACAATATTTTGGGTTATTTATTTACACAATAATTAGCCTGATCTAACGAGGAAACGTAAGTATTTTAAGTTTTGTCAGTTTAGGGGCTAATTCGTAAGAATTCGTACAAGTTCAGTAGTATAAAAATGTACGATCCTAAAAAGGAGGCGTGGCATCAAACCCCACCCCTAAACCCAACGGTCATTGAGTGATGAGCAAATCAGACAAAATTGTACAAATTAGATCATACAAATTCATATGAATTTGCCACTAAATCAAAAAGTTACAAATTGCTGTGAGATTGCTTTGGAAAACCTTTTTTTGAAAAAAGTTTTTAAAAATCAACACTGTTTGAGTGATTTGTTGCCAGCTAGTTGCCTAGCATGCATAATGCTGAGATTTAAGTTGTTTTGCTATACATTTATGTAAATGAGGTTAGTTTTGATAAGTTGTCATCTGTATCTGAGACAATTCTTTCAAAAACCTAAAGGAATCCTTTTATTTTACTATAATATATTTTACTGTTTGCATCACATACTGTCACATCTACCTCTATATGTAAAACAAGCTCATTGGAATTTCGTGCTTTAGCCGATATTTTTGTGAAACCACAAAAACTTCAACATATGCTTTACTGCAGTTTGTTAGTAAAATGAAGGCTACGTGGGCAGTTTGATGCTATCAAAATTTATTCCTTTTCACCTAAATGATATACAGGGACAGGGACAAGTTATCGACAAATAAAGGAATGTTTTATGCAGTTCTTTGCACAACACCAAAAAAATGCTATAAAACAACTTGATGATTTGTAATCAGATGCATTTGTCTCATCTATCTCCATACAACTTGTTTAGGGTAGTCCGTTTGCTCACCAATTCAACTCATCAGCTCATGAGGAGAAACTAAAAGACCTATAATGGGTGTAACAGACAAAGGAGACATCCAAAACATGTAGTGTTGGTGGTCCTCCAGAAATGTGGTTGTGAAACACTGCTCTAGCGGATTTGCCATCTGAAAGGTGCAAAATTATGTACCATGGAGCATTTTAAGTTTTGCAAAAATGTAGACTGAGGTACTTATTTCCATTATGTCTGACCTGTCCATGTATGGCTTTTTCAGCATAGTAAACTTGCTCTGTAGCTCACCTGGTACACCATTATAGATGTGATGTTGAGTGCTTGAATACCCTTTAAAAAAATCTGGGTTCCACACAATTCTTTCATGTTGTCCCAACACAAAATGATTAAGTTAACTTATTTTTTTAAGTGGATTGAACATAGATCAATTTAGTGTTGATTCAACTCATTTTAAATAAGTAGTTTGAACAAACAGAAAAAAATAGGTGTATTAATCCTGTTCAACAAAAACTGTTTGAAAAAAATGGGTTCAAAGCTGATTAAAAACTAGGAACATTTATTTTCTTTTTAATTGACCTGTTTTATTTACCTTTAAATTACACTTTATCTTTTTTTTTTTTTTTTTACCACGATCAGGGTATGGTGGAAGTGGAGTAATAGCATTTTGCTTTTGTTTATTAGTTTCATGGGAAAAATAAAATGCTTGTAGAGCCACTCACTGGACATTTTAGCTGTAAACTACTGCAATATAATTTATTTTTTGCAAAAACATCCCCACAGACAGACAGACATACTATTCATGCTCCTGGGTTGAAACAAACTGCATCTGAGACCAATTTCACATATATGCTGCACTGCCTTATGTTTTTTGGTTGCAGATGTGTACACGATGTCTCCACATGTATGCTTTTTTCTTTTAAACTTGTTCTGTAGCCAACCTACAGTGCAACACTAATATACTGCAAAAGAGTTAAAATAAATCAGATCTTCATCCTCCTTTAACAATATATTTAGATTAGGGTTGTATTTTGAACTATAGTAAAACATTAACCATATAGTCCCACTCTGAACTACCATAATACATGCATTAACTGATGCAAGAAAGTGTTTATGTTTATTTGTTTCCGAGAAAATTTCTCACATTTAAGCAACATTTCATCAGACATCTCCCTTTAAGCTAAATCAACACCAAAATTACTAAAGCTAAAGCAAACAGCTTAGCTGCGTTTGTGAAATATGAAATTCACATCATTAAAATAGTAACAGCTTTACGGTTATAGAATAGTTAAGTTTCTATAACTAATTCTGTCATTTTTCTTTTTTTTATAAATATATTTGACACTATCCTGGTATTGTTTGTATTTTAAAAAGAACTTTCAAAGTAATGGTGACTTGAGCATAGATTGGAAAAAGCTAAATGCACAAGCCAGGGTAACATTACGCCTCACAGTGAATGCCGAGCCAAGACACACTGCAAAAAAGCGAACCCTGAAATGCAAGAGCGAGTTAATGATTACAAAAGTGAAAACATTTTTAAATGAAACTGTGCTGTGAATTAAAGACACAATTACATTAAGGGTGTGCAGAGGGAGAATTACGATGGTGAAACTCTGTCACAGACGGCAGTGTTAATGCGCGCCTCCGTGTGGGTCTCTGTGGGTGTATTTGCTCTGCTGAGAGAAAATGAGACTCATCTTTAATGATATTAAGGTAAGCAATGGAAAATCAATTCGAAATTGCTCAGTCCAAGAAGCGCGCTTGGCTGTGAGATATGAGCAGCGAGAGAGTCGGATTTTCAAATGAAAAGGGTATTGCTAAATAAAGGGAGACTGAGTCAGGTCAGGACTTTAAGCATCTATAATCCTTTAAATCTGAATGATTATCTTTCAAACGGGCCTGTGGGGAACAAAACAGAACTGACAGAACAGAAACTGAGCTTCCTGTGCCAAAAGGAGAGGGGAAAAGACACACAGAACAGACTAAGCAAAGCACACCTGCTCCAGATACCTGCCCAATACAATTCCCCTGCTGACTGCTGCGATGGAGAACTGTATATTTAAATCCTAATATGACAATGCTGAATATATTGCTTGCAATGCCTTGTAAAGGCTCCTGTGGATAATACAAAATGAAAACACTGCATTCTGGGTTATACAGGCCGTAAATATTAAAGGTGCTGTAGGTAATTGTCTTCAGAAACAGAAGTGCTGCTTAAAAGTTTCTTCACATTCCGATCCGAGTAATTTTATCTCATCTGATTTTTGTCCGCTTTTCCGGGGCCGGGTCGCAAGGGTTGCAGGCTTAGGAGAAAACCCCAGACTTCCCTCTCCCCAGACACTTCCTTCAGCTCCTCCGGGGGATTTAGAGGTGTTCCCAGGCCAGCTGAGAGACATAAGCCCCTTTCACACATACAGACCTTTCTGGAAAATTATCGGTAATTTTCAGGAAAAGTCTGTATGTGTGAACAAGACCTTTTTGAAAATACTGGTAAATTCGCTCCAGCAATTTTCCGGAAAGAGAAGTTGTAACATCACCGGTAAATTGCCAGAATGTTGCGCAGTGTGAGCGCGTTCACGTCTAGATTGCACTGACATTAGACCTCTACTCCAGCCAATCAGAACACTCAGACGCATTCACACCCGCACTGTTTTTAAAAATTAAAGCTTTTTTATATTTTTCCAGACACATTTAGCTGCTAGATTTTAGTCAGATAACATTTATATGTTCTTTCTTAATGCCAACTGTATAAATAATTATCAACAAGATGCTTATGATAAGCTGTTGTTTGTTTACCTTCAAGCTCTGCTTCCTTCAGTTGCATGACGCGTCGCGCTTGCCCGTGAAACAACCGGTGAGTGCCAGCACACACACATACACTGCACATCTCAACATGCAAAAGTGTTTCTCTATATGTTTTCATCGAAGTTGTTCACAATACTTA